CCCATGCCTCCCCGCCACTGCATTCCATGACTCCACACCCCACACCCCATGCGTCCCCGCCACTGCATCCCATGACTCCACACCCCACACCCTGCACCTCCCCACCACTGCACCCCATGACTCCACAACCCACACCCCTCACCTTCCCTACCACTGCATCCCATGACTCCACACCCCACACCCCATGCGTCCCCGCCACTGCATCCCATGACTCCACACCCCACACCCTGAGCCTCCCCACCACTGCACCCCATGACTCCACAACCCACACCCCACACCTCCCCACCACTGCACCCCATGACTCCACACCCTGCACCCCATGCCTCCCCGCCGCTGCATCCCATGACTCCACACCCCACACCCCACGCCTCCCTACCACTGCACCCCATGACCCCACACCCCATGCCCTGCATCTCCCTGCCACTGAACCACATGACTCCACGGCCCATGCCCTGCATCTCCCTGCCACTGTACCCCATGACCCCATACCCCATGCCCTGCGTCTCCGTGCCACTGCACCCCATGACCCCACACTCCATGCCCTGTCTCCCCGCCACTGCACCCCATGACTCCACACCCCACGCCTCCCCACCACTGTGCCCCATGACTCCATGCTTCACACCCCACATTCTCCCCACCAATGCACCCCATGACTCCATAGCCCACATCTCCCCACCTCTGCAGCCCATGACTCCACGCCCCATATCTCCCCGCCACTGCACCCTGTGACTCCACACCCCACACCCGGTGCCTCCCCACCGCTGCACCCCATGACTCCACGCCCCACACCCCCATGCCCTAATCCTCCTGCACCCACAGACATATGCAGATTTAGAATCCTCCATGTTACTTTATACATGCACCAGTTACTGGAAGACAGTGTGGAAAAGCCACAAGGAGACCCTGCTCCCATCCCAGAGGAAACCGGTATGGGCCTACTGACACGTGTCCCCCCGTGAGGGTGAGGACGCAGCCGCCTGCACCAACCTCGCCCAGGCTGGGCCCCGCCAGCTCGGCTATGGAGTGGGTGGAGCCGGGCAGGCTGGCCAGCAGCAGCTGGGTGCGGGCTGCCGCGTCCCGGTGGCTGCGCAGCAGGTCCTTCACCAGCCAGCAGCAGAAGAGCGTGGCAGCACCACGCAGCTCCACGCGCCGCACCTCGAACTGTATGCCTGGTGCGGGGACAGAGAGAACGGACCTCCACTGACATGGGCACGAAGGTCAGAAAAGCACCCCCAGGACAGCAGACGACAGCACCGAGTGGGGACAGAGGCCTGCGGAAGGGCCATCAAGGGGGCAGGAGCGAGAGGAACAGCTTCACAGCCAGCATGCCTGCAACAGCCCCCGACCCGTCCTCCCATACATCCTCCCGTCCAGCCAGTGGCCCTGTGCCACCAGAGCAGCCAGAGCCCAGGGCTGGACAGCAGAGGAGAGCAGGGGTCTGCCTGCGCCGCCTCCTGGCCTCTCATTCACTCAGCGGTCCACTCGCCAGTGACCGCAGCCAGCCACTGCAGACCGTCCCCAACGTGGAAGAGCCTAGAAGGCCGTGCTCACCCCACCACTGTGCAGAGCGAGTGTTTGCCTGCAGGTGACATCACTGGGACCTGCTCAGCCAAAAGTCACATGCATGCACACGTGTGCATATCCCAGCTACACGTGCCACACTAAATGTAAAGGGCACACACGCTCACGCACATGCAAAGTACTGGCGTTTCGATATACATATATGTACACTCCTAAACAGATGGGGCTTTTTTAGGTGAAAGGACTACAGGTGATCTTGTTTTCCTCTTTTTGTTTACATGTCTGAGCGTTCCCACAGATACGTGCTACTTAGGTAATTTCTTAAAGTTTACGGAAACAGCCCTGCTAAGGAACACCACAAAATCAGCACTGTGGGACCAACGGGCTACAGTAACATGGACGATGGGGTAAGAAACTGGGAAAACAAAGTAAAACGGAAACCATACACCACAGGAGGGAGCGTGAAGGCTGTGGAGATTTTCCTCATGGTGGAGCAGCTGCACACCAGCCCTCAGCTCCCGCCACCCCGCAGCGCGACCCCAGAAGGGATGTATCCCCGCTGTGGCCCACCTGAACCTTCAAGGATTGGGAGGGCCCAGTCACTGACAGCCACTGCCCAACGCCCACCCGAGCCCGGGGCAGCTGGAGGCCCCTCCACCCTTCCCCCGGTGGCTAGGAGAAGCCACTCCGTGAAGGAGGGGTACAGGGTGGGCAGCCTGGAGGCACTGGAGTTTCGGCTGCCCCTGTGGCACACACGCCCAGGACTCCACCTGCTCCAGTCTCACACGTGTGACCCTAGCGGTCAAGAGGAACTTGAGGAGACCGCTTGGGCCAGGCCTACAAAGAGGGTGGGTCCAACAGCCCCGGGGGAACACGCACGCCCGCCCCTGGCCCTCGGGGACGTACTCAACCGCGAGCCATCCCGGTGGTAGCAGCTGCCTGAGTAGGTGCCCTCTTGGATCTCCGGAGGGGGGCCGGCGGCCCTGGGCGGCGGGGTGCTCTCCCCTCTCACCGGCGTGGAAGTCGCCTGGAGGCCCAGCTCCGGAGGCTCTGTGTGTGGGAGCATGTCCCCAGGGCCGGCTTCAGGGGGCAGGGAGGACAGCAGACAAGCCTCAGATGGTGCCGTCCGGTTGTGGGCCAGACGGCCCTTCCGGAAAACGCTGAGGTCAGAGGAGGTGCCGGTCAGCAGCAGCAGCCCCTCCCGGTCCAGCCGCAAGGCGTCTGACTGCTGCCCCCGGAGGCTGCCCTCGTCCAGGGTGGAGCCCAATCCCAGAGAAGAGGGTGGCCGGGTGAGGCCCGAGGCCGCACAGGAGCAGCCTGAGGACACCCGGGCCACCCGCTCACTGAGGAAGAACTCCTTCAAGGCCCAGGAGAACGTGGCCACGTTGGCATCATGCCCATTCGTGGGCTCCGGGGTGCCAGGGAGGTCCGTGGCCAGGGCATAGCAGGCCGAGGAGCTGCCTGAGCGGCCGCCCTGCAAACCTCTGCCTCCGAGGTCACAGAACGACAGAGAGGCAACAAAAGCGGGGTGTTCTGCAGGGAGGGGCCTGGCAGAGGGGGTGTCCACGGCCCCCGCAAAGCTCGGTGCGGACAACTGCTCCTTGATCAGGCAGGTCTGCAACTCCTCCCTGTCACTGCCCCCACCCAGCCACAGGTCATTAAGTATAGGCATCCCCAGTGAGACGTGTGTCATTCCCGGGGGGCTCAGGTCCCCTCGCTGGGCAAGCAACTCAGTCCCACACTGGGGGCAGTGCGTTGGGAAGCTGGCTCCAGCTGGCTGGCTCTCGGCACTGGGCTTGGGCACGGTGGCCTCGATCTGAGGACTGAAGCCTGTGGCCCCCTCTGGATCTAGATTGCACTCTGGAATGTTCCTCTTCCTATCCTCCGCTATAGCTGGGGTTCCAGGGTCTTCACGTACAGCATGTGGACTCTTAACCCCGGGCTCAGACCTGCTGTCCTCCCGCAGGTCCTCCTGGGAACTCTCCTCCCCTGGTCCTTGCTGGGTCTCCTGGTCCTGGGCTGCCAGGCGTCCTCCAGCAGTGTCCGTCCTGGGGACGGTGATACGGGTCACACGGTTACTTAGGGGCTCAGAGGACCAAAAGGAGACCACACGGATCATCTCTGTGAGCGACAACCCCGAGCGGGTAACGCCATAAACTTCTGACGGAAAACAAGAAGGCAAACCTTGTAACCAACTCCCCACAGGCGCTTAACATCAGCCACCTGAGAGGAGACCTTGCTGAGCACTGCTGAAAGCCCAGGTTTGGGTTTTCATGAGATAACTATACACAAAGATCTCCAAAATGATACACATATAAGCACGCTTAGAACAATTTATGTATGGTACATTCCCATTTAGGGTCACTGTGAGTCACTATGAGTCGGAATCGACTCGATGGCAACAGGTTTATAATCCCATTTATGCTAAGGGAACAAAAGCAGCCACGTGTACACACACATGTATATACGCACACTGGTATGTATGCACACACTTAGGCATACACACACACACATGCACGTAAATATGTACACAGGCATGCACACTCATGTAGCCCCACATACATGTGTGCATGCACACATACAGGCATATACATGCACACACGAGCAACACGTGTACACACATACATGTGTGTACGATACACATGCATGTACATATTTACACAGGCACATACATATGCACACAGGTATGTACGATACACACAGGCATGTACAATACACACAGGTACACACACATAGGCATGTACAATACACGTGCATGGACATACAAGCATGTACAATACACACACGTACACACACACGTAGGCATATACAATACATTTGCATGAGCACACACACAGGTATGATACACACATCCATACACGTACATACACACACAGCGTGTGCGATACACGCACATGCACGCACATACATATGCACACAGGGATGTAATATGCACACAGCATGTGATGTGCACATGTACGTGTGTGTATATATGCACACAGGCACACACTTGGACACATACACATACATATACATACGCACACAGGCATGTACATACGCACACAGGCATATACATACACACACCAGCATTTACGTATGTACACACACACGTACACATGCACGCACGCACACATGCATATACGTGCGCACACCGGCATGTACATATGCACACAGACGTGTACACACACACTTGTATTTAAGCACCAGGCACACACACTTGTACCTACGCACAGCGGCATGTATATACACACACACGCACGTACACGCACTCTTGTATTTAAGCACACACGAAAGGCCAGAGGCTGCATGCTGATGGTGGCCTCTGGGGGAAGAGCGGGCTGGACGGGGAGGTGGCAGTTGATACCTGGAACTCACTTTTAACCATTATTCTCCTGCGTTTTGGGAAAAACAAATCTATGCTTACATATGAGGTAATTTTAAAAACAATTTTAGAAGGACTGGAAACCACATCTCACAGATATGCTGAGCAAAGAGACTGGAAGAGGGGATGCGAGTGCAGGTCATGGGCAGGCAGCTCTGACCTTGAAGGCCAGGAGTGGGGTGTCCTGAGCAGGGGACAGGGAGGGGGATGAGGACAGACTGTGCGTGCCTGAGGTTTGGGCACGTCACTGTGCTACACATCGCCAAATCTTCCAGCTCCTCTAACAAGGACTTCCTGTATCCTAAAACTACATGTCATTACTTACAACACTTAGAGAGATGATCAGGTGCTTTCTGTTCTCTGAAATCCACCTGGACGCCCCAGCTCTCCAGGCCTGGGTCCTGGTCTGGGGATGACCCAACTGGTACCTCCTCAAGGGCTGCGAGGACGAGGCCGGCAACACGGGAGGGGCGCAAGGAGGTGCATGGTGCGTGCTCACGGTCACCATCATCACCGTCACCGAGTTGGGCCTGTCTCTTGGAAATGCTCCTTGCCCCCAGCTGCCTGCCTAGCTCTCTGTAAGCCCGCAGCCTTCACAAAGGCACTCACCCCAGGGCCAGCTGGGAGGAGCATGGGCCAGGGAGGCGGCCCTCGCGTTCCTGCAGGGCCTGCGTCCGGAGGAATTCTTCTCCTTGGTTCCCGGCTGGCGCCAGGGTCACATCCCGTGGCAGGGCGTCTGCATCAGCATCAGCGAGCACGATGCTCACGCTGGAACCTGGCAGCAACGTCCAAAAGGATCAGACACATCTTCTGAGATGGGTCACTGCCATTTCCATTTCCCCAAGACCCACCACGAAACCCACCATCAAACCACGTCCCGAATCTCCCCACCACCCCCAGGCACCACCCCAGACCCTGCACGGCCAACCCTGCTCTCCTCCGGCCAGTCTCTCTGCCCAGCCACTCTGCCCCCTGCTGCCTGGGCATGCCGGCCCCCGTGCGCGCCACCTGGAGGGCTGTGCCCGCTTGGCTGCTCCCGCCTCCTGCAGGCGTCCACTCACAGCTGCTCCCTTGATGCCACCCCAGCTCAGCGACCTGAGGCCTCCGCCCCCTCCCATCCCCACAGGGGCCACAACACACTGGGAAGCAGGAGCCATGAGTCTTACCGTTGGCTCCGCCAGACAGGTCCCAGCCCCGCCAGGGTTCCGCCGATGCCCCCCCAGGGCTGCTGTCCCGGCTGACGTTCAGGCACTGGGCCAGGTCTGGCAGGGGCAGGGAGCTGTCATTGGCGAGGTCCATGTAGCTGTAGAAGCCAGGGATCAGGAACGTGATGTTCTGGAGACAGAGCGAAACTGCATAAGGGCCTAGGAGGGATCCTCCCAGAAATGGGGAGGAAATGAAGACGCTGTGAGCACACCTGGATGGTCCATCCCTCGGGCCCTCTGACGGCCTGAAGCCCCACAGACACTGGACACGTAACTCGGGATTTTTTCCTTTCCCTTACGAAAAAGACGAAGTTAACCAAAGAGGACGCAGGCTGTGCCGATGCCCACAGGCCTCCTGGGCAGACACTGGTCCTGAAGCCCTGGCCTGCAGAATCCCCCCAACCCCGCTGCACGGTGGGGGCTCTGGTTCCTGCTGGAGGGGGTGCCACGGGGCCCAGCAGTGCTGCCCCGTCCAACAGAGGCACTCTCTGACCCTGCGCAACGCCCCCACTCCTAGCCAACTGCCATGGCCACATGAATCAGGACCGCCCCACAGAGGGAGTGTCCAAGTGTCCCCCCAATGAAACCTGCCGGGAAGCCCTCGGGACCCTCCACACACCTGCAAGAGGTCTCTTTCATGTTGATGTTGATGCGTTTAAGTAACATAGCCTTGACGTAACTGATCTTTAGTATTTCTAATGGAGAACAAAGAGACCTCCTTATGGAGCCCCAAGTGAGGATAAAGCGTCTGCCCATCACCAGGTCCAAGTTTTGGCCCCATTACAAGTGACAGTGGAGACAGGCCCCTGCCCTGAGGCAGCACCCGGCTGGCCGTGTGCATGACCCAGGCTGCAGGCAAACCCGGACCTGCACCTGCGTTGGGGCAGGGGCTCAGCGTGGGACCACTTGGATGCCAGGCAAGGCTGCGCCTCAGCAGAGATGGCTGTGGACTGGAGAGTTCCAAACATCCCCCTAACTCAGGAGGCCCCGTGACTGTGATGTGGAGAGGACGCGGCAAGGCCACCCCGAGGCCCAGGGGACAGCCCAGAAGCAAGAAGAGCCACCGCGGCCTTGTGTCTGAACACTTGGCAACTGCTCAGGCCCTGGCTCGGTGGGTGCCTGACGGGGACACCAGGCACCATGCTGGACCAAGGGGGAGCAGAAGGAGCCTCTGATGGAATGGAAACCCCTCCTTCCCAAAGGAAGGAAACGTCTGCCGTCTCCTGGCGACACACACTCGCACAGTGCCTCCGGGACAGACGGGACGGACACCCAAGAGCAGCTGCTGACCAGCAGGACCATGGCTGAGACCACCAGGCACCGCAGCCCGCAGCGGGACCTGGACCCACCCAGCAAAGCGAATCAGTTCTCACTGGGCACTGGCTCAGGGGCGCAGAGCGTCTCCTCTTCTGGGGAGACACGGCACACGGGATCAGGGACGAGGGTGACTACCGAGTGATCGAGGAGCCAGGCAAGGAGGGAGGGAACCCCCCTCCCCAGGGCAGTGGTGTTGCCGTCTCCCCGTGGGGAAGCCAGCCAGCTGCCCCAGATGGAGAGCCCGCCGCCCACCCTGGGATTGCCTGGCTCTCAGGCCCGGGAGCAGACACACCTTCTCACCTTGCCCAGGAGCTCAGCCTTCCCGTAGCCAAACAGCATGAGCGCGAAGCTATGGTTGATGCCGTAGATGGTGCCATCTGGCAAGAGGGTGACGAGGCCACTGATGGTGCAGAACACCCAGACGGAGGCCGTGTAGCTGGGCACGGGCAAGGGCGGGCCCCCCTCCACCTCATCGGGGCCGGGCCTGGCCTTGAGTTTTAGGCTCAGAGGGAAGGTGGTACCATCCCTTGCTCTCCCCACGGACCTCTGGATCCTGAGATTCTACAAGAGAAACAGGCCGTGTGGCTGGAAGCAATGCTCTGTGCGACAGAAGCACCAAGTCCACACTTCTTGTCTAGATTCCACTTTCAAATACGTGTCACGGTGGAAATGTCCCAAGAATACCCAGTTCCCCAGTCTTCTCCTCCTTTCATCTCTCCCCGTGGCCCCCAACCTGGACTGGGAGCCTTGCCGTTGGGGGAGGACTTAGGGTCCAGGCATCGTCCCCCACACCAGCACAGCCCAATAGCTGCGCACAGCGAGCCAGCCGCCGCACACGGCGAGGCAGCCGCGGCACACGGCGAGGCAGCCGCCGCACACGGCGAGCCAGCCGCCGCAC